GCTCCAACAGTGAATATATTATTGTCTATAGTGGTTGTTAGAGATGAATTAACATATGTTTTATCCATAATATTGCCATTTAATCAATAAAATTTCAGTCCTGACAGTGTATATAACTTTATGGTAATCAACCTTTGTAAAGTATTGAGTTGGTTTAAAAAATTGCTATATTTCTGTGAAAAGTATTAAATTGTTGGAAGGAAATACTTAGTTAGAAGAAAAGTACTATACTTTTACCGCAATTAGTTGGTAGCCCAGGCTACTATTGTAGTATTAAGTTGAAACTAACATTTTATTTTTTCCCTAACTGTCTGATGTGACTTATAAAATATTTACTAACATATACATAAATTAAAAGATTAGAATAACATTTTCTAATATATGTATATGTTTGTGAGTAGTAGCGGAGGTTTAGAGAAACAAGAAAATGTGAGTTTCAACTGAGTTCATCCTAAAGTTACTAACAAATGTAGGTGGAACTATAGATGGGTGGTAAAAACTAAGAACCTCTTTGCATGATAGCATTTATTTAAATCAAGCTATAACCTAAATTTTAAAATAATGATTTAAAATCGGTCTGTGGATAGAAATATTCATCCGTCCACAATATCAGTAAGAACTTAAGGTTCACAAGTCTATTTATACAAATGCTAATTAATTAATAACTTTTAGATTAGCATGTAGAAATTAATTAAGAACCTGAATTAATAAAAATGTAAACACTGTCAATTATGTACAAAAGTGTAAAATCTTCTGAGGCTCATTGCTGATTTCTGTAAGATTTTTGAGGAAAATTGTAGTTAGTATTGTTTCTTTTAAATTCATAAAGTGATTGAAAAAATATTTAATTCTTGCAGATAATCTAATGAAAAATATACTTTAAACAACCAACATTTAGTCTGGTCATTAATAAATTAAAAGCAAATATTTCATATATTGTTTTGTATTTAAGAAAAAACTGATCGTTGTGAAACTGTTTGCCAACTACGAAACTATAGAAAAAGATCTACAGTTACTGAATTAAAAAAAAAAAAATTGTTATTATAAAATGTGTAGTAAAGTCTAAAACTTAAATGTGATTTATAAAAGTCAGTTATTATTTTTACTATGAGGCAGTTACCATAAGTTTTCTTTACTAAGGATTCAATTTTCTATCAAGAATTCGAGATATGGTTAAAAATATAGATTATATTAATATTTGATTCTGCCCAGTAGTAAAAAAAATAGCTTAACAACCCTGTTAAAATCTGTTATTATAACTAACACAATTTTAAAAACATAAAATTGGCACCTTTCTGATATTTAAAAAAATAAATGGTTCTGTAAGATTACTTAATATAATTTACTACGATGTGGCAATATTAAACAATATTGTTAGCCAATCATCGTCACAAGATGTACTTAAAATTTTTAACCAGTATTTTGTTATGAAATATTGGTTAAGAGAAAATATATAAGATATGTTTAATTATGTAAATTATTGTAAAAAAAATAAAATAAAACTATTAACATTTTCCAAAGAAAATTAATTTGTAAGAGGAGTCCAACTCAGTTAACTGTGAAACGTAACTAAGTAGGTTCCTGCTATTGAATATACAGGAAATAGTAAAGCAGTTATTAAAATATTAGTGATTAACAAGGCGTTCTTTTGTCTATAATAAAATTGGAATTCATAGTAAAACCTTAAAAACTACAAGATATCAGAAGCAAATATTTAAATTTTTAATTAATATCTTTTGGCAGATAAAATAATGATGAGTATAATCAAACAAAAATTGTGTACTTTTTGAGTTATTCGCAAATATAGTTTTGAACCCATTGTAACTTTTTTTCATACTCTTTTCGGGGAAGGGTGTTATATACATAAATTAAAAGGGCTTCAAGGAGAAGACTTTAGCCAAGTTTAATTAAAATCGTTACAACCATTTAGGTTTTTGGGCCACCATTGGGAAATAAAAGACCGGAGGGTGATTAAATGTAAATAAAACCACTTAATGCGATAGAAACATTATGTCGATATTTCAAAGCGATCGTTGAAGAAGTTTCAGAGATTAGCGGTTTTGAACAAACGAACATTTACGTTTTATTAATATAGATTAGAATGTCCTGACTTAATTTTGCATCAGATAAATTATTTATTGATTTAAATATGAATCAGATTACAAATTAGCTTTGGGAATATTAAAAAAAACAATATTAAAAACTTTATCATATGTAATAAATAATATATACAAACAACTATATAATATATACAAACAAAACTTATAAAATATAACTATCACAAGGAAAATGTAAACTTTTTCCAACATAAAATGTATAAATGACTTCAAATGCAGCAAGTTTTCTCCCAGTCATAATATTTTGGAACCACTTTATTTTTCCATCTCATTAAGTTCCGTTAACAGTGACTAAGTAAAGCACATACCATATTACATCGAATATAAGATCCTCTCTTATTTAAGACACATCATTTTTTCATTTGTGTAGAAGGGATTTTGATGAATAAAATACTGCAGAACGGTAACATTGGAAATCGTGAATTTTCTTATAATATTATTTTCATAGATATTTAAGGTGTCCAAAAAAATCAAATAAAAGCTTTATAAACTAATCGAACTTAAAAGTAACATCAAATTTAAGAAACACTCTGTTTTAAAAATAAATTTTTTAATGAAATAAAAGTGCATCCAAAATTCGATACAATATGGTAATAAAAAATCCATTTAATAAGACCGTTGTCACTCCTGATATTCTAAAAATACAATACTGTAAAATCAGGAGAAAAACTGGGTAAATATAAATGCAATGAATTAAACCTTGACAAAAAATAAAAAAGAGAATTTGTGTTTTGGACAAAAACAACGGATAAATCAGCATAAAGTCTAAGGGTGATCATACATCATTTATGGTATGTTAGAAAAAATGTTGATTCAACCCAAAGAAAAACAGAAAATAGTATTAAGTAGTAAACAATAAAATACAAATCAACTCATAATTGTTGGTAGCAAAATCACCATTTAAAGCCATATCACTGCTGTATGAACAGATATATAGATAATCACAAATATAACAATGATTTGTAATTATAATATAATTACTTTTTATTAAGAACAAAAAGGAACATAAAAAATATTGTAGATAAAAATAGTGGTCTCTCTACTCCACTTTCTACCTAAAATACATTGATTATTTGGAAATAATAACAATTCTCAACCATACAATAAACAGATAACACAGCCTTGGTTATCAACAACCATAAAAGCATTTAACTTACACATATTTGAATGACTAATCAATTATATTATTACATAATACACTCAATATGGAAGGATTATGAAGTCATATTAATTTTTTATTCATATAAGTCTAATTTTCATAGTACAAAATATACATGAAAGGTAATGGAAGATTTTGTTATATATTAGCAATTAGTAAGCAATAATTTATCACCTTTGTCTCTAAAAACTTTCTATAAACATATTTCTATTATCATTGGTTTTCTATAGTCATCACATACCAATTAATTTATACAAAAACAGATTTTGCATGTTTACAAATAGCATATAAATCAACTAAAAAAAATATTAACAGAATATTTTTATATGTAACATGTTTACAGATAACCTATAAATTAACTAAAAAACCATCAACAGAATATTTTTATATGTAACATGTTTACAAATGCACACGCTACTTTATGTATGTATATGCATATATACAATGAAATTGAAATCCTTACATTTGACAAGATTGTGATATTTATGTGTTGAAACAAATGAGTATACTAACATACCATGTTAAACATACATATGATGTGTCTACCCACACAACTTTCCTTAGCACTTTGGGTGCAAATCTATTTAGGCTTAACAAAACAATATTAGGTTTAACAAAAATAAACCAAACCCTAGCAGCAGCAAATATTATTAGTATTATCCAGAGAGTTAGAATTATTACCATTCCACTAATAAATAGTATTACTAAAACAATCCATTCATAAGATTATATGAATTAAGATTATTTAATATGAAACACAATAAAAATAATCATGTTAAATAACTAAATAAATTAGCAATAGAAAACTCTCTATCTATCAAACTATTCCCAACCTAGTAAAAACTGTCACCCATACTCATTGGCTAATCCAGGATTTAAATTTGGGATGGCTTGGTTTCATTTATTTAAGTTTCAAATTTAAATTTGTTTATTTTTATTAATCATGGTAATTACTCTTGAAGAAAAAAGAAGTAACTATATAAAAAAATAATATTTAAGTAGTCCTTAAAGGCCTTTAAGAAAAAAAAATAATGTGTTTACAGGAACATGAATGCTTTTAGGAATAGTGTTTTCTATTTTTTCGTGATACTTACTTACATTTATTAGCTGAAATACATACGTTATAATTTAAAAAGAGAACATATTTTGATTGTTTATGTATTTAGCTCAAATCACTCACAGAAACAAATATGAACAAATGAGAAAAAAAAAAAGCATTTTTCTATTATGGCTTCAGCTCAAAATCTTCCTCCCTATGCATCCCTGTGGATTTTCCAGTGCCTATATTGAATTATAGTACTGCTATTCAAAAGTATTTGAAAAAATTATGATTTATTTTTTAAAAATAAATTGGTGGTCTGTAACACAAAAAAAACTCAAATTCACAAATTAACAGGAGTGATATTCAAGATAATTTAATGTATAGTTAAAATATGCCATATAAAATATAAAACTTTTTTTTTCCTCGATACTCTATGATTTCTATAATGGTCCATTTCTACTGAAAGATATAATAGGGTGTATAAAAAAAATGATGGTTTTATCAAATTCAAGATTTCAAAGCACTGTTAACATTTTAATCCTATTTAATACTTGCCAATCCCTTTAGAGCATTCTCTAAGCTTTTTTAATCCCATTAGACTTCTTCAAAAAAAGCCTCAGTTTAGTTATCTGTTTCAAAAAAGAAACTTGATAGTGTCCTACAAAATTCTTGTAATTTTAAGGCATTATTGGAAAAAAATTTCACAACTGCTGAAGTAACTCATAAAATTATTAAATATGAAGGGAAAGATGTCCTTGAACAGTGCACTGCACGTGGTCGGTTTGAAAGATTTAGCAGTGAAGATACGATGTCGGAAAGGAAGAAGGGCTGTGGGTGACCATTAATGGATATTAATGAGGTTCTGCAAGAAGCTGTTGAGTCAAATCCGTCCACAAGTACTTGCAAACTTCCCAGGGAGTGTGGTGTGTCGAAAGATACTGATACTCCCATCTAATGTCCATGAAGAAGGTGAAAAAGAGCAGTAGAGTGGTCCCTCACGAACTTACTCCTCAGCAATTAGTTAAGAGGTCAGAATTTACTGAAAAACACTTCTGATAGATCGTGGTCAAACTGCTTTTCCAGTTGCTGAAAAGGGGCAATTTGGAAAAAAAAAAATCCATGCTTTGCGTTTTTTTTTTATTTTTAAGGTGTTATTCATCGCGAACTTGTTCCTGATGGATGCACTATGAATTCTGAATGCTCTACTTCGAACAACTGGAAAGATTGTACACAAAGTTGTCAGAGCGTTATCCTGCTTTGATCAACCAAAAAGAAATTTTATTCCAAAAAGAAAATGCCCGTCCTCACACTTCCCGTCGAACCCAAGAACAGTTTAAAGAACTTCATGGGTTCGAACTCCTGCCTCATCTACCATATAGTACAGCCCTCGCATTATCGGATTACTACTTATTTAGATCTATGGCTCATTTTCTTTAAGGGAAAAAAATTGATAATTTTGTGGAAGTTGAAATTGCAGTCTAAGAGTTCTTTGGCCAAAGAATGGTATCAGAGTGGGATCGAGCAATTGGCTAGCAGATGACTAATGACGGTAGATAACAATGGACTATAGATAGATAGATAGATAGATAGAAAGTAAACTTTATTCTGGGACAAGGTCCTTTATGAATAACAGATATGAACAAAAAATAAAAACTACATCTGGCCAAAAATTACATTAGTCGATATTAAAGAATATATAGTATCTTCAGTACAATTAAATTAAAACAAGTAAAAATAACACCATTTTGGAAAGAAAACAAAATAAAAAAAAACATTATTTAAATGAAAAGAAAACAAAATAAAATAAACATAGGTTGATTTTTAAAATTAAAACTATCAATTTTTACAACCATTCATCTCAGTCAAAATCTGTTTTGCAATATTTATTTCATTGTATAACGTCATTTTGAGATGTGAGAAGGAATTGGTAGAGATGATATTTAAATGAGGCCAAGGAAGAGGCATGGCGGATATCAGACGGCAAGGAATTCTAGAAGGCAGTGGATCGGGCAATAAAGGAATATTCAAACGTTTTAGTTCTATGGGAAGGGATATAAAGGTCGGAAACACGTGATCTTGTTTTCTGGGAGTGGACCACGGGTTTAAACTGTAGGAGACTGTAGATGTAGGAAGGGTGTCAGGAGTTGATCGTTTGGAACAGGAAAGATCCAAGGAAATATTGTCTGCAGAAAGAAGGGAAGAACCACTTTAACTATTCTTAAAGGTGGGACACATGAGACCGCCTCGATGTACCGAAGACAAATCTTAAGCACGTATTCATGAGTCGCTTCAATCTATCCTCGAGTACCATCGGGATGCCTCCGTACACCACACAGCCATAGTCAAAGTGGGGGAAAATGAGAGAGGATACAAGGAGCTTGCGGATGGGTTGTGGGAGTAGGTGGCAGGAGCGATACTTTAAACAAATCAAAAAAAGTGACATAAGTATTAAAATGAGAATCTTAGAATAAAATGTAAAACAGAAAAAAAGAATATGAAGTTATATAAGAAATGAAAAACGTTGTCTGTACATCTTGATAGACTTCACAATATCTCAATTTTCTATCTAACTATTCTATTCGCAATATCTTAATTTTACTATTTATTTTCATTTCATATATAACTTCATATTCCTTTTTTCTGATTTACATTTTATTCTAAGATTCCCATTTTAATACTTACGTCACCTTTTTTTATTATGTTTACTTCATCATTCCACACTTTGCAACGGTTATTATTATTTATCTCTTAGTTCTTACTATTGTCATTATTCTAACAACTTTATTTTGCTTTAATTTTTTTTACCTACACTAATTATGTTCCTCATACCTTGTTATCTGGTTCTTTTCTTAGCCCTGATGAAGGCCTGAACTTCAGGTCGAAACATCGGCAAATGTCAAAATAAATATTATCATTTATTTTGCCTTCATATTTGACTGATCACCCCAACTATTCTTCTCTTCTTTATTAATTTATTTACATCCTAATCAACAATTGATTGGATGTAGTGTACACTTTGACTTCAAATTCTTCACAAACAACCATAAAGAAAAGAAGTTTGGAAAATCATGGTCATAAAAATTTAAAATAAATGTGCATTAAAAAGGAAGCAAACAACTGAGTAAAAAGGAAGTGTTAATGGAATGATAAGAAATGGCAATATTTTTTATCAAGAATGCAAAGAATAGCAAATAACCAACCATCAGCTGGTGATTATAATATGCCAAGTCAGAACATGTAACAAATCAGGAGGCGATTTTGTCTTGACTCATGCACGAATCCACCGTTGTTAAAGGGTTAACAGCAAACAAAATTTGTTATTAAAATAACTTTGTCAATGGAAAATATGTATATAAGTTTGTATACAAAACTTCTATCCAGTTTGTGTTTAAAATAATTAAATATAAGTTTTGAATGATACTAGAATTAAACAAATAATTAAACATACAAATTTATGAAAATGAGATCAAATAACAATTTCTAGTAACGTAGTCTAAGCTCAATGTGATTATACTCTCAATATGAAATTAAACCATTCATCCTCAGCGGAAAAATTCGTGAGGTCAATTTCCTATTAATCTGCATTAGTAATAATTCTCATTGCTTGTGAAGAACAAAATGACCAAAAGTTCATGAAAACTTAAACAATTCACTAGAGATCTCTCAAGGTTATGCTTATTGAATAGACATGGTTGATTATAGAATGAAGAATATAGTTCACATGGAAGGTGGTGTTTCAGCATCCAGAATTATAGGTTAATTCAACAATTCCAAACAGAAATAGAATGATAAGCCAAAGTAATGTCCTGTTGCAGCAGTCAAGCATTGTTCAGAAAGTCTGAAATAAATTTTATATTTTAAAAAATCAATTTTAATTTCTAAAAGTATAAACAAGGAAAAAGGCTCCAATAAAATAAGTAAAATAATTGTTTATTTTTTAAAATAATTTTATGTAGTGTATATAATTCAGTGATTATTGAATAATAATATATTAATGTCTACTGATTATTAATGTCTAAATTTTTCAAAAAAATAGGACGAGGAATGTGTAAACCTCCTGGGCTGTTTATAATTTAGGACTTACCCAAACCAAAACTAGTACCCAGTTCTGCCATAAATACAGTTACAAAAGTTGAGCTTTGTTTACATCCTTGGGTATTATTTAGGTAATCCTTACCTCTATCAGGTTATTTTCTTTACATGTCAGGATAATAATCCCAATTAGTGTTTAATTTTCTATCGCTCAGTTAACATGGAGTGGGATGATAAAGAAAACCGAATAGTTGTGATCGCCTTGCACAAAGCTGGAAAATGTAGGTCAGAGATTTTCAACAATTTGAAACCTTTGGGTATCAGCCGTATGTTCGTGTACCGCACTATAAATAGATATAATGAGACCATATCTGTATGTGACAGACATCGACTGGGCTATCCCTGCATTGTGAGAACGGCAACTGCAGTGAGAGCAGTGGCTGCTCAATCAGAAGAAATCCCATTCGAAAACAACAAATCATGTCTCGGAATATGGGAATCACTTTCAGATGAATGTCTCGTATAATAAAAAGTGACCTTAGGATGGAGCATTTCGAAGAATAACAGGACAAAGGCTATCCACTTTCCTAAAAAAAATTAGAGTGGATAGACGCTAAGTGTTTCTTGGCCGTTACAAAGATGGTCTTCATCGAAAGATTTTGTTTAGTGATGAGAAAATTTTTACAATTGAAGAAAATTTTAATCGACAAACTGATCATATGTATGCAGCTCTAAAGAAGCCCAGGAAGTCATTGGAAGAGTAGAAAGAGGTCATCATCCTTCCTCAGTGATGGTTTGGTGAGGAGTTTGCTTTGATGGCACTATCAAGCTCCATTTTTGTGAAAAAGGAGTTAAACAGCCGCTAAAAACTATCAGGACGATATTTTGGAACCTATTGTCAAGCCTCTAAATGATACTCTGTTTGCTGGAAGTCATTGGGTTTTCCAGCAGGATTCCCTCCAGCTCACAAGGCCAGGTCAACTCAGCAGTGGCTGCAAAAGAACATTCCAGAGTTCATCTCTGCCTCGGATTGGCCCTCAGGAAGCCCTGATCTCAACCCACTAGATTATCGGCTTTGGTCCGAACTGGAGAGGATGGCATGCCACAGAGCACATCCTAACTTGGAAAGTCTCGAAAATCTCTGGTCCAAGCAGTTGAGCGCTTTCCTCAAGAAGTACTACATGCTGCTATTGATGACTGGCCACAGAGATTAAATACCTTTGTCAAGGCAAAAGGGAGACATTTAGAATTATTTCATTTTTTTTTTTACTTTCTATAGATATAAATTTTATTTTCTAGTAAAGTTTTGGAAAAAATTAATTTTTCTGTTGAAATCTGTATATATTTCCTTGTAACAATATTTATGACAAGACTAGGTATTTATTTGTTGCTAATTAAATCCTTGCTCTTTTTTTAGTATAGGATACACAAGGAATATCTGTTTGCATTGAAAAAATCCAAAATATTGCACTGATTTCAAATCTGTTTGATTATGTATCAATAGGGGAAATTTAAAAATACAGGCAGATACTAGGGAAATAGAACAGATCTTTAGTATAAGATATTAATTTCTAGACAATTTCAAAACAGATTTTCGTACTCACTATAAGATGTGACTTCAATAAGTTCATTTTGTTTTAATCATATTGCTTATTAAAAATTAATTACACTATATATTAATTAACTACACAATAAATCATAAAAAACACTATATATGGTATTCTAAGAATGACTGAGTATTGACGTGTTCACGATATTATATATTATTTATTTAGGACTTGATTTAAGACTCGTACACACTCGGCCATTCTAGGAATTCCACATATAGCCTGATCATGTTACCTTGAACCATACATCAAAGTTGAGCAACAGTAGTAAAATAATACCAAAATAATTTATAAATAAATGTGTTTGTTCTTAATTCTGTTAAAGGTAATAAAACATACTAACTTACTTTTATTTACTCACATTTATTCCATTAAAGATGACCATGTATATGCCCGTATTCAAAAGTAATCTTTAATTCGCCAATTTTTGAAATAGGAAGAACATTCGGAGTCCAATTAATCGACAAAATAGAAGGAGATTCTTGATCAGGTGAGTCGACTCCTTTGATATGAAAACAAATGAAATTAGAAAAAATTATTGTGAAATAATTTATCGTGGCTAAGGATGGTATAATTGGGAGTATGACCCAAACACAATGGATTCTCATAAACAGTGCACTTCAAAAAAAAGAATAGGATATTCAGAAATAACATTGCACTATATCTGTTCCTAATCTCCGATTAATCTGTAAATAAGTAAACTAAAAACTATATATTTTTTTCACTTAATCAGACTGTAGGTCAAAGAACAATAAGTTCAAAGAAATGAATAAGCAAAAACATACACGATTATACTATGTATTACCTAAATTATCCACAATTTTCAATGATGAAATACTATTCTCCTTTATGAAGAACATAAAGAGAAGATAAATATAATATTAATTATGAAAAAGTGATAAAAAAAAGATATCTCTTTCTCTACCTATGCATTTTTACACAAAGGAAATCAGCATAAAGTAGTTTGAAATATAACCCCTACGAATATTCAAATAAAAATGTGTTGCAATACTAACCAATTTTGAGATAAGTTTTAAGTTCAATAGGTCGAATTGGGCGTTGGCCTTCCCGTCTCACCAACCCTTCTTCAATACTAGCAGGATCCAATTCTTCGTAAGTTCCTTCACCAGTCTGAACGAAGCTTCGTGAGAGATTTAATGAGAGCTAAAGGGTACAATAGAAAAAAAATTAATACTTTAATATTCTATTAGGTACATTTCATTGTATAAATCTAAATTTAGAACAAACTCGTCTGATCACTAATTTTTACTTTCACTTACTTATATATGAAATATATTGGGAAGGAAAGTATTGCAATCATGAAAATTTTCGAATCTCAGTTTTCAATGGAAATACACGTTTTGAGGTCCCCTGAGTCGAAATAACCAAGTCGCACAAAATGGTCTGTGTGTGTTAGCAGTCTAGCCCAAAAACGACGTCGTACAAAAGTGAAATTGCATATTTAAGATTTTTATATGCTAGGGATGTTACAGCAACTTTTTCGTCAAAATTGGCTAACCAGAAGTGGCACTTTATGTAACAGACTAAACACATTTTTACGATTTTCCTCGAAAATGGCTTCAACAATTTTGATTAAATTCACCATATCAGTGTAAAATTAAGCAGTTTTAAATAAAATATAGTTTTTATTCTGATTGATGTCCTCTAACGGGGCTTAAATGGCTAATTTTAAATATTAGCTTCTCCTAAAGTGGTTTTAATTTTTTTTATTTGAAAAAATTGTCCATTTCACATTAATCTGTAATATAAAAGATAGTTAAATATAGAATATGGAAGAATTTGATAATTAACTAAAGGAGAAATAAGAGATCGTAATGGAGAATAGTTGTAATTGAGGAATCAAAGCAAAACGAGCGCGCCTCAGCTCACCCAAAACATTAGAATAGGCTTCCATACATAACCTGAGCTTAATATAATGCGGACTCCGACAACATTATATAAATATGTTGTTTTCATATATGCTATTGTTGGTATTATTTAATATTTAATTTTATAGATTACAGCAATATAAATATTAAAATTTGGATATATAAGGGTACTTATACAAATTAAAGTACCCACAATGGAATATAAATAAATATAGCACCTATAATTTTACTTTCACTTCCGTTTTGTCTGAAAATATTTTTTTCCGCTAAGAAGAGAGTGGTAAATGAAAGTTTTGAAATGCGCACACCACACCAGAATTTTCTATTGATTCTACATTGGAACAGTGTTCATTCTTCATCTCATATTTTATCTAAAATTATTTTGGATTTGGTAATATTGTTAAATTTGATTATTGTTTTACCACTGATTTTATTATATTTTTTTTTTTTAAATTGACTTATGACTTATTTTAAGAAAACTAACAACACAGACTAATAAGACTTGGCAGTCTTATCTACACATATAGTACGTCCTTTATAACTTACATTGTAAATTATTTACCGTATATAATTATATAAAAAAGCTGAACGTTGATAGAAAAAATAGGTTTTCTCTATAAACAATATTACTTACTAATGGTGTGTCAAAGATGGCTTTGGCATGAGAGAGATTAGTAATATGCCAGGTGTAATTGTAGAAAGTTCCAAATGGTGGAGTTGTTTTTCTGTCGAATGTGGTGACTAGATTTGGAAGACGTTTTCGTTTGTTACCTTCAATGGATTGAGTCATGAAACGATCCAACAAGCAATCAAAAAATAACTGTAAAATGAACATAGGTATAAATTTACTTTCATATTAGTATGGAAAAATTTCTAATATGCAATTTTAATAGTACAAATATAACGCCTAATCTTTTTTTTTTTTAATGGAGAAAGAGAGTAACATAATCATGGCTGTCCATGAAGTTTCATATCTAATTAACATATGATAAAGGATTCTTTATGAAGTTTCATATCTAATTAACATATGATAAAGGATTCTTTATCATTCTGATATCCTAAACATGAATTATAACACCTATTTTCTTTTAAGGGATTTACCCTAAAGTGTGAAATGGATACATACATTTGAACAGGGTTATGTTATATTCTCTGAAGTGTTACAATATATTTTCCTCACCTCTATATAATATTCTATGAAAATATTAACGAATTATAAATAATTCACTGTAGTATATCATAGAAAAAATATTAATAAACTTGTTAATAATTTATTTTAATTTAATACCAAATTAATAAACTTGTTTTGATGCGTACATGTACCTATTCAATTTATAGTAAGCTGATCCTTATTCCCAGAAGACACCTCTCGATATCGTACAAATCAGTGGAACCAGTGGCTGTATGTTGCGGACAGGTTTTGCTATTTGAGTTGATGTTTTGTTTAAGTTACTGTAAAGCCAAGGTATTTAAATCTAATTTTGTTAATGGTTGTCCATCTTGAAATATTCTTCTAGAACTATTAAAATAGATATTTTTTGGCTTATTTTATGACATTATGTACTTTCTTCTACTTAGTAGGGCACTGATCTTTCAATGTTCAAGGTCCCAGGTACGAATTCCCTGTTCATGGCAGAAAAATTATTTATTCTGTCTCATCAGCAGTGGGGAGACCCTGAGGTCAGGAGACCCTCTTAGGGCACACCCAGCCTCTATAAAGAGGGTACCCTTAATTAAATAATTAATTAAGGGAGGAAACCTGGCAGTTGAGCGTGATCTCAGTCAAATCACCTGGCACATCCGTTGACTAAGAAACAGTACTTTCCTTAAATAGTACTGAACTCAAGACCCTTTATGGATTGTAGTGGTACAGGTTTTGGTTTATTATTTTCAATAATGAACCATTGTGATCGACCAAAAACTCAATCCGCTCTCAAAATTTGATGTTTTACGTTTCAGGATACGTAGAATGTGAAAAAAAATACAAAACTTTTGGTCCTCCACCGTCCGCTGTCTGCGCGTTTTCCCCGAAACTACTGGACCGATTTTTTTCAAATTTGGATATAAAATGAAAGGTTACCCGAGGATGATCCTCATTAATCGACATTACCATCCGCCTTTTACTTTCAAAATGGCGGCTGAAAAACCTGTGTTCCTATAGACTCTAGCACCTAAACGAATGTACCGATTTCAATGAAACTTCTTTAAAGGCATTTTTCTCAACGCCCTTTAAATTTATCTATATAACACACTACAACAAAAAGAAGCTTAGCTCGGGAAAAAAGTTATAAGGGATGGTAAAATTAGATTCCGAATAACTCAAAAAGTATACACTTTTTGTTGTAAGGTTTTTTAAAATTTTACGCAATTTCCTAAAAAAACAAAAAAAAAAAATCAATAAAACTGGACAATTTGGAGCAACGAAATGGTCTCTAGATATTTTTTATATGTTCTACTGCAAAGGTTATATCCTTTCTATTGGTTTTTGAATTTGAATGTGTTATTGAAGTAATGCTAATTTTTGCAGCATATTACCAATGATTAAAAAAAAAAGTTTAGTCCAATAATTGGAATCACCTCTTATTTATTTTTCTTTGTAACTAGGAAAGTAAAGTAACTTTCGATGTATAATAGTTTGGAAATAATAAACCATTATGAAATAATTTGCAGCGTTTTTTTATTATATTTTTCAAGGACTTGATAGAACACAAATCAAAACAGACCATTCTTGATTTACTTTTATTATATTATATAGATGAATTGATCACGAATCAATATATAAAATACAAATTACAGTGAAAAAAGTGTTTAAAATAAAACTTCTCGGGTAAGATTAATGTTTTAATAGACAATAAAAATTTCAGCTTTCATATTAAGCATTTATTATTATTTGAACTCACTACCTATATATCAAAAGTATGTAATATGACATTAAGAAAAAACAAATATAGCTTACATGTGGAATGTGGAAGACAAGAGGTTCTGGTTTTCCATCTAGTTGAAAGTGCATTAACTGGTTCATCCTTTCAGTGACGGAAGCAAGCCAATTTATAAAAGGTAATGTTACTGAGTTAGGATCAGGTGACACTAAAAAAAAAATATGGAAACTTAATATACAATCTATATAAATAAAATAAAGATTTTGTCTGTACATTGAATAGAATCAACACGTTTTATGATATATTTCCTGTTTCATACATTGCAGACACCAAATCCACTTTAAAAAAAAAATATTTTGTCTGTCTGTATGTCCGGATTGAAACGAAATTTTGTCAGGGGTAAGCTCAGCAATGGCTTATTGTACACTTTTGAAAATTTGACATTATATTAAAGTTTGCTTGACTTAAAACATAGGCTTTAAATGAAAACAAAATATTGAGTAGAACTGAAGTTATGAATTATTGAGTAATTTGTCTAAAGATCTCGGTTAATGTTGATAATAAATGTTAATAATAAACATATGTTTATAGGTTAAAGAACATCTATATAAATAAAATAAAGGTTTTGTCTGTATATTGAATAGAATCAACGCGATTCATGATATCTTTCCATTTTATATATTACAGACACCAAATCCACTTTTCAAAAATTTTTGTGTCTGGATGTTCCCATTATCCAACGAAAGTTTGTCAGGGGTAAGCTCGGCAAAGGCTAATGGTAGACTTTTGAAATTTTGACATTATATTAAGGTTTGCTTGACTTAAAATATAGGCTTTAAATGAAAAATAAAATTGAGTAGAACCAAAGTTATGAATTCCTGAGAATTTTTAACTATACAGTCGTCAATGACAGGTGCATCAGCTAGTAGATATATAAAGTGGATACTTGATATAAATATATATTAAGAAAGCAATCTTCATGTAAGAATAGTTTTTGAAATAATTAATTATTCAATAATTCGTGGATTGAAAATGTTTTTGACCTTTTTGAAATAATACAATAAAAAGAATAATAATACAATTAAAAGTAAAACAAAATATTGGTTAAATATTAACAATGGTTCACATATTAACAATTAAAATAAAATTATTTTAGCTTTGAAGAATAATTTAATTCCAAATTTAATTGAAAGATTAATTAATCCATGAAGTAAAAGTAAAATGAACTAACCTTCAGCAAAATGAAATTGTTTCATGAAATCTTTGTTACCTCCTCTCTTTTTTTCTAATGTGTTTGACGATATTTTCTTTTTTCTTGGTTTAGGCTAGAAAAATCAAAAGATAATAATAATTAAGAATAAATCATAAATATTTCAAAATTAAAGTTCTGCTGTAATGACGTATTACTAATTTGCTTAAAATAATAGAAACACTTTGGAATCAAACTCCGATCAACAATGCTTATCAGCACAGTCCAGCTTCTGAGTTACGCGGATGATTTTCATGTTGCAGCCAGATCAGAACAAGCCTTATGAGAATCATTCCTGGGTCTGAAAGATGCTTCTATGGAGCTTGGTCAAGTTGTTAATGAAGCCAAGACGAAATATGTACAGATTGTAGGAGCCGAACTAGGAGTTGGATATTTTGATGCAGAAGAGTACCATTTTCAGAAGATAAGTAGTTTCACCTATTTGGGTTCGGAAATCAAATCCCAAAATAACATTACCCAGGCAGGAAACAGGAGGATTGCAACAGCTAACTGTTGCTACTTTGGCGTGGTCTAACATTTTAGAAGTAGAATGCTGCTCAGGACCAAGATCGAGCTCTATAAGACCCTAGTCTGCCCAGAAGTCATGTATACATCAGAGGCTTGGGCGTTCACGAAAGCTGATGAGTCCAGGCTTCTTAGACGGATTTTTGGTCCTGCCAGACAGGACAATGTCTGAAGAAGAAGGAAAAATGACGAATTAACAAGACTCTACAGCGATGCTGACATAGTTAAGTTCGTAAAGCTTGGATAACTTCGATGGGCAGGACATGTACAAAGGATGGCTGCCAACGAGATTCTAAAAATGGTGCTTACTGAAGAACTCTATGGGAAACGCTGGACGACTATATGTGGGATGGATGGACTCAGTCTCTGCGGACATGTGGGCCCTTCATGGAGTCCGAAACTGGAGAGCTGCAGCAAGCGACCGAACAAACTGGCGGAGAATTTTGAAGGAGGGCCAGTCTCGGTGATGTAATGTCAAGCCACTTACGATGGAATACGATAATCCATTATAAAACATATTTTTAGTAGTTTTTTAAATGTATAAAAAAAAGTACTTAAGTTGAAATAATTACCTTAATCTTTATTTTACCAGTGATGTCTTGATTCATAACTGATGAGAAATTCTGAGAGTCAAGACCAGTACCAAGATCATTTGAAACATCAACAATGGATGTTAAACCATCTAAATCCTATAAATATAAACATTTTATGAACATAATTAAGACATTATAATTAATCATATTGAGATAAGACTATTCCTATAACATTAAGTAGTACAATGGAATAGATACCAAATCCGATGCTTGTGAAAGCATTACAAATAATGATCATTAAAAAAAAAATCAATCTGATTGTAATGTAAATGTGAAATTAAGAAATTTTCCATTAATCTATGTAGAATAACTATTTTAGATCCAACCCATTTGATAAAAATTTTCAAGTATTCATTTGAAATCAAATCACATTTGAAGTGAAAAAGGTAGGCAAACAAAACCAAATATACTGGTAAAAAATTGGTGAACAAAGTAGGATAGCTTCCAGAGAGCTATCTGAAGGTTGCTGTCAATGCATGTAGGAGTAAAAAAGCATCCAGGCCTTCCTGTAAACCACAGAGCTTTAGAAAATTGAGAAGTGATCGTGATATTGGAACATATGAACCATATGAAACATGGTATAACACCTGATTTTTCCTCCTTTTCCAATCTTCTGCAATGAAAACACCACCATAGGTATGAGGATTCTTCTTAAAAATACCAGGAGTTACTGCTCCAGTAAGTAGTTCAAGTCTGATAACCATACAGCAAGAGTGGACGCACTATCGACTTATAAAGACATAACTATGTTATTCTGGAGAGATCTCTACTCCAGAACATAGAAAAATAACATTGATTTGCTGCCATGATCCTACACCGGATCTGTTGTTCAGGGGCTTTGTCTTGAGTTACCAATGAGCCGAGATATATAAAAACATTAGTTTTTTTGAATTGGTATTCTCTAGGCCTAGGCAACTCTTCTGTAACCATATATTTGGTTTTGCCAGCATTGACTTCCAAGCTAAGTCTTTTTGCAGGACCCACCAGAGCAAGGAAAAATATTTGTAATAAATAGAAAAGTTGGAACAATGTAAAGTTAGAACCAGAACGCTTAAGAATATTTATGAAAAAAAAAACTATGAATAATAATCAAAAATTCTTTTTTAAATTTGAAACATTCATGAATCTTACCGTTTCAGGAAATTCAGGAAGTATAAAGGAACTATCTTTATCTAATACTTCAATTTCTACTTCACTTTGGTTTATAGTATTATTTAAAATTTCCACCAACCTGCATTCTTCCTCTACAATTAGAATCATGATAAAAAATGTCATTAATAATCAAAGTAAACAGTATTTTGTTTTTATAAAAATAAAAAAAAGTATGAATTAAGCTCATGCATTATCCTAAGATTAAATATAAGCTAGCATACCATTTGCATCTATTTCAACAGTATATATTTCTGCAATCCTTTCCCTTGAGACAAAGGTAGAAAATTCAGTGGTCAATTTCGCATCAGAAGCAAAAGCAGCAACACAAGCATAATAATGAATACAGTTTTTTGAGTTATCCAATGATTTGGCATGATTCTAGAAAAGAATAAAAATAAAATTGATATAAAAACAATTCACAGGAAAAATTAATAATTTTAATATTACAAAACCAATAGTTGTAAAACATACTGTATCATAAAATGTACTATGTAAGGAACATTAGTGCATATAAGCAGTCATTTCTATTTTAATGGACTGTTAGTTACTCTGGTTATTAAAGTTGTGAAAAGTAATTGAATCATAAGCATGGGCAGTGCCTGAGCTGAGTTTGATATGAATGAAAATAATTTTATTATTCTGGGACTAGTGACCCTTTAAGGTACTATTTGGCTGGCGCGGTCGACGACAGCGACCGCTATTCCCCTCTGCCAACCGCTGTTGGCGTACCTATTTCGCTGAAACTGCTCACTGGGGTTGTTATAACCTGCCTATAACCTTCGAACATTTCGCTGTATCTTCGAAGATAAAAAGATGGACATAATATAAGAATAAAAATGAACTTCCTATAATAATGAACATCTCTGACTACCGCTTTTTTATTTGAGTTGGAAAAAGAAGAGAAAATGTTCTTCATAAAGAGAAGGAATATCAGTATTTCGATGTGATGCTCATCATCAAAGTTCCTCTGATATTACATATTATTAGTTTGAAAAATAATAGTAATTAATACATAATTGGTTAGTAATAAATATCATATAGTTGTAATTAAATCTCAGCAAGCGATGTTTTGTAGTTTTATCAATAGTAATCAGTAATTCACCACTTTAGTTAAAAAATACAAATCGTTTTTTTAATGGGTGGATTTTAGTATTTACCTGACGATAAAATTTGTTGGATTTTTTAATTTATTTAATATCGTTTGGATTTAGGTATATTTGTATTTCGCTGTAAAATATTGCTGGTGGATTAAATAAATAAATAATCTTGTTACTTCAACCTCAAAAAAATAATTTACTATTGCATTGTTTAAGTTTTAAACAATATTTGTTATAATTTTGCCAGACTTGAAAGAAACATAGGAAATAAAACGTATCGACGGGACTGTTATCATCAAAACAATGCTCTGATATGATAACATAACCTACAACCGCCGAACCGCCAACAGCTCCACTGCTTCAAGAGGAGTCAGATACGAGCAGCTTAGATATGACGTCATACCTAAAATGCCGAGCAGCGCCAGCGAAATAGGTTCCTTTCTATTCCACTAAAGCAGTGGTCAACCGCGAGCAGTCACGGTCGTGGACCGCGCCAGCGAAATAGTACCTTTAGAACAAGTCACAAATACAGAATATATATCAATATTTTGGTATGTTCATGAAATACAATTTAATATTTACAGGTTGATTCGGAGTACAATAAAGTTATAAATGATAAAAAGATATAAATAAGTGTAAATATAAAATATACAGAGAAAGTAATTAAGTGAACAAAATATCGATGAATTACAAAATAATCAGAGTATCTTGGTGTACTTTGAGGTTTTTACAGCTTAGGTTTTTAAGTGCATTTCGTGATCAATCGGATTGGGAATGGAGTAGGTGTTCGAAGAGGAGAGATTTGAAAGAGGATATCGATTTTGCGTGTCGAATATCTGAAGGTATAGAGTTCCAGAGGGAGACAACTTGTATTAAAAAGGATTTATCAAATGCAGCAGTTCGGTGAGGAGGAGGATAGAGGTCGGACGCACGGGATCTGGTGGGACGGGATTGAAAGGAGCGTTTGAATTGTAGGATCTGTAGAATATAGGCAGGTCGCCGTGTTCTAATGGCTCGGTATAGGAAGGTAGCCAGAAAATATTGACGGCGGTAGGACGGATAAAGCCACTTCAACTTGGAGTAGAACTGGGTAATATGCGTATCCCTTGAGATCCCGAAGATAAAGCGGATTGAGCAATTCATTAAACGTTTAAGTTTGGCTTCGAGTTCTTCCGAGAGTCCACCATACACCATGCGGCCATAGTCGAAGTGGGGGAAAGCAAGAGAGGAGACCAGGAGTTGATGGGTTTTGAACGGAAGAAGATAACGTAGATGGTTAAACTGTTTCAGGGTGGATATAGTACGGCAGGAAATTTGGGAGATGTGTGGTTTCCAGAAGAGGCTTTGATCGAGGGTAACGCCTAGGTTTTTAACGGTGGTATGGAATGAGGTAAGTGAGTTGTTCAGAAGAAGGTTAGGAGGTGTTGAAATGGATTTGAGGAGTGAGGGGATCCGATCAGGATGGCTTTTGTCTTCTCCGTATTCAATGTCAGCTTATTAAGATTTGCCCATGCGCATATTCTATTGATGTCTTGTTGCAGTTTCAGGATGGCATTAGAGGAATCTGTTGGTTTGAAGGAAAGATAAATTTGGACGTCATCGGCGTATAGGTGATATTGACAGTGTATGATAGAGGAAGGGATGTCATTAATGTAGATGGAAAAGAGGGTGGGGGAGATATGCAACATGTCTTATAAATGTGTGTAGCATCTATTGAACAATAGATCTTGTACGCCTTAGACTGAACTTACTAATATTAATTCTTAATATATTGAGGGAAAACAAAATGTATATATAAGAAAATTTGAAACCTTGTATGTAGCACAGGTACATGTGAAGTAAGAATCTTTTTCTTTCAGTCTTGTAGATAAAAAAAAGGTAACGTGGAGAAATCCAAGAGGATGTTTTGTTGTAACTTTACATTTCACAGCCATTATAGCTTTGGATACCCTTTGAACTAAAGCACCAGGTGTATCTGTGTTCAACTGCCATATTGTCTGAAATAATAAACATGAGTTTGTATTAGGTATTACAAAAATACAATAATATATGCAAAAAAATAAATAAATCAATAACGCTTATTTCTAGGCTGATCTTAATTAACCTAAATTAAATAAAAAATTAACTTACATCTTTGATATACTTGGAAGTATTTATTGTCTCTAAAGCCTTGTAATCAATATGAAGGACCACTGCATCACTACAACATCTCATAGCAGATTGTATATGCTGGCAAGTGGTAGTTGGTTGTACCATTCCACTTTCCTAGAGCAAATTATTTTTAATTTTATTATTTATATATACATTAATATGTTTACTCCCTTACATATTGATAAACCCCTTCTTATATGGAATAACTTAGTCAACCTTTATAATAAATTTTCCAAACAATGAAAATGTCAAATGGTATGTGTATGGGCTAAAAAAATAATTTAATTACTGAACAAAGTTTTAGGAAGAGAAAATAAGGTACTTATTTAATAGCGGGTAGCATCAAAACCTACCTTCTTATCTAATCTCATTTCACATAACCGCCCTTATCTCATCTTACCTAAGTTATTCCCTTGTTTATTTTTTGTTTCTTGTGTTAGCTCTGAGTTAGTATTATTTAATTATGGATGTTGTCACATTGGGAATTGCAAAGGACAAATATTGTGATGAAGGTCATCAAATGAAGTTCAACGGGAAGATTAAATGGAGATGCTTTCGTAGTTGTAACAAAACTGTTCCTATAAGGAAAAGAACGTGGTTAGAGGGGTCGAGGATTTCTATTTTAACGGCTTTAAAATCCATTTATGGGTAGTCCCATAATTTAACAACAATACAGTGGGGGAAAGAGCAGCTCAAACTATCCAACGCAACTATCTTAACATGGAACAAATTTTTAAGAGAAGTTTGTGCCCATGACATGTTATACAGGTCGAATAAAAAAATTGGAGGGCCTGGCATTAAAAATTTTAATTATATATTTATAATGTTTTGGAATATTTTAATATATATGTTGTAAAATAAAAGTATTTTTTTATTATTAAATTTCTTTTTGCTTTTGTTCACAATTTCAATAACATCAATACAATACAATAAATATGAATACGAAGATATAATAATATGAATATAATACAATAAATATAAATGCTAAGAGCTTATCAGTGCTAAGGTTATAAACATTGGCAGATAGCAGTCGGAAGCAACCTGCTGTTAAATAAGTACCGAAAATAATCCTAAAAAAGTTAGGGACTATAAAAATTAAATAAATTTGGAAGTCTAATAGTCAACTTATCTTAAAATATGAATAAACCCAAAATGAATATAAAATCAATCATACATGGCATTTCAACAAACTGGTATTGAAAAGTCGTTGACAAGATTCAACAAAGCACAAAGCTGAAAGACTGTTCAAATAAGCTGACTCAGTTTCATCAAGATTAGGTTGCACAACAGGAAGTTGTACGAATCCCCTAAAATCAGGTCCCTTGTCTCTCACTCGAACAGAAAATACCTAAAAAAAAATATAAAAATTTAAATCAAACAAAAAATTTAAATGAATCATAAAAAAAATGTATATAGAACTAGATTAACATATCGCCTTGTTGAATAATTGGAAAAATTGAAAATGTTACATAGCGAATACCTCAATTGAAATGGTTGTAACTTTGAATTACTGATCAATTTTTCATTTCAAGTGGATTTAGACTACAAATGGTTCAACTCATTTTCAACCCAAAAATGTAACTGAATATTTACCATTACAATCATTTCAATAAAAAAAAAATTTAGTTCTACCATAATTTGAGTCTGAAGGCAATATACTGACACATTTATTATTAATTAACCTAACAGATTAATAGAAAAAATAAATGATCTGAACTATTTATTTTTAAAAAATCTTTCTTCAAAACTATGCATAACCCTGATTTGCTTTAATGTAGGAACAACAAAAAATATATATATATATATATTTTTTAAATTTTGCTATTATTTTATAAATGAAGATTTAGATGAAGCACTGAAAAATAATGCAAAGCAGCAGGCAGAGATGGCACATCACCTGAAATGTTCAGATACGTGGGAGAACAAGAAGAGAGAGTTCACCTCTGTCTTATTAACCTAATTTGGAGAGAAAAAAAAGCATACCGAAAAATTGGAAAGAAGAACGGATCTTGGAAAAACAGAATAACAGTCAACAGTAGCTTAGATGAGGAGCAATATGGTTTCCACAACCATAGAAGAACACAAGACTATATCTTCTCTATGAGACAAATGACCTAAAAACTGATTGAGAAGGGAAAATAAATAAGTTGTTGTTTTGTTGATTTGACAAAGACTTTTGATTAAGGGAGAAGGGAAGATTTAGCTCAGGCCCTGGAGGAGCTGGGAGTGGACATGGGAATAAGAATGGCTATAGGAAGCCTGAACAAAAGAAATAGGAATGTAATGAGAACGTCCAACTGCACCTCTGAAGAATTCAAAATATTCACTCGTATACAACAGAGCTGTTGTCTCAGCCTTCTTCTGTTTATTGTTCTCCTGAACTCAGTGCTGAAGAAATAGGAATAGCAAAACCTAAAATTAGACGTTTTCAACTCGGCTACTGAAATCTAAAGCCAGTGAGTTGATGGCTTATGCTGATGATCTGGTAGTTTTGGGGAATGATGGTAGGAATCTTTAGTATAACATTTTGATCCTAAATAATGAGCTTGCAAAAATAAACATGCAAATAAATGAAGAAAAAATAAAAGTAATGAGGATTGGAAAAATAATAGAACAGGTTGATAGTTTTAAATATAAACTAACAAAAAATGGACTTATAGATACGGAGATCTATGGCTAACAAATGTTACTTTGCCCTTTACAAGGAATTCATTTCTCGCCTTCTATCACGGCATAACAAACTACATCTTTATAAAACATTAATCGGCCCAGTCCTGATCTATGCTTCAGAAACATGGACGATGACTAAAAAAATTGAGCAAGACCTCCTAATCTTTGAAAAATTCTTGGAAGAATATTTGAAGGGGTACAGATTGATGGAAATTGGAGAAGACAGACAAATGCCAAAATTTGCTCAACTTTTAATGATCAAGATGAAATTTTGAAGATGAAGCTTGGAAGATTGAGATTTGTTGGCCATGTGGCAAGGATGGAAAATGAAGCTATCCCTAGGATAATCCTGACAGAGCCTCTCAACATAACCGCACAAGAAGAAGAGGAAGACCAAAATTAAAATGGTTAGACGGTGTGGCAAGAGATTCAAAGGATATTCTGGGAGTCAGGAGCTGGGTGTTGGCCGCACAGAACAGAGATGACTGGAGGAAGCTGGTGGAGGAGGCTAAGACTCATCACCGAGTTGTAGCGCTGTAATAATAAAAATAAAGATATGGAGATCAGAGAAAGAATAGTTTCGTCTGAAAATTGTTTCAATGCTGTTAAAAAAAAGCATTTGATTAACAGGAGAGAAGTATCAACAGGAACAAAGGAGGCTATATACATATTCCAGGGAATTTAGAACACTATGACAAAATGCAAGAGTCTACTTCAGAGTTCTGAGATGAGATTCCATTGGAGGATTGAAGGTAAAACAAGGTGTAACAGAATCAGATATACCACAATATGGACGAACCCTAATGTAAAACCTATACGAACAGTGATTAAGGAGAATCAACTCTGACAGTATGAAAATAGATATGTCTTCAGGACGGATGAAAATAGAATAGCCAATGCAACCTATGAGACATAGCTGGACAGTGTAGACCAAGACGAAGGTCAAGAAGAAGGCTGGAGGAAGAAATACAAGAAGCATTTGCAAGCAGGGAACCGGAATGGAGGAAAAGAGAATTGGCACAGGAGAATGGATCTATTGACAATCTATGATCCAGGGTTAGCAAGCGAAATCCAACACTGCAACGGCAGAAGGTGGGGGTTTAATGAAGAAGAAGAAATTTTACTACATTGAACATATTTCAAAGATAGTAAAGTTTCATCACAGAAAATAGCACATTCTCATTCACTCTAATTAGTCCACAGAGAATAGTTATGCCGGTATCAACCAGTACCCAGCATTTCATAAACAATAATATAAGGCTGTGTTTTGAGGCAGTCAAGAGACTTTTTAAGTTATTCTAGAACCTATTCTAACCAGAGTGGAAAGATTAAAAATGGTACAACTGTACCAGTATTGATCCATTTTGATGGGGGGATCATACTATAAATGAAATTTCGAGAATGGCCGAGTATTTATGAGTTCACAGAATTAAAATCCTTTTACTTATATAGTGATTACGACTTCTGTTCATTATTCTCACTAAAAAAAATATAAAGACCTCCAATGAATCCTTTAAAGTTGAGGTCAGGGACTTATTACACACTTTGGTCACCACCATCAACTTTCAGATACACTTAAACATTCTTATTATTCCATTTATAGCGTGACCATGAGATCTTGTGCCCACTGTCAAATTAGGGCAAAACTAGTACAATACTACCTCAAGATTCATTCAGTGAGTCCACCACAAAATAAATTTCAAATCACTCACAGAATGTCTCCAAGTCCACGGAAAGTCCAGAACTGGGACTTTTGGACTTAAGAACATTAAAGCAGGCAATCCTTTAACACACAGCCACCACAGCCTACAGATAGCTATCATTGGCATAAATAATTTTAAGATTATGAAATTATATTGCTGTCGTTTGGGCACATTACATATATAGGTACTATGCTTGAAGTTCTCCAAGTGGAACTAATGTGAATCTGATATATCAAACAATTGATAACAGTTGAATAGAAAGATTTCAAAAAGATAAATATTTTTGTCCTTTAGAAAATTTTAATTCATATGTTCAATAGTAATAGATTAAATCAAAAAGAGGAATTGCATCATGTTTTGATCTAAATTAAAAGACAAATAACAACAGTGTACACAATATCTAATAAATAATCAGTAATAAAAATGTTTTTAATTTAAACCAATAATATTACCCGAGTTGATGTACCCGTATTAAGCTTGCATACTTCCATACTTTGTTTTTTTCTTCTTCCCGCTTCAGTAAAAACAACATCACAAGCTTTATTTTTACAACTAAGCCCTCTGGTACCATTAAGTGTCCCACATTTATAACATTTTCTTATTCCACGGAGAGTAGATCTTCCTAGATCTTTCAACATAGCCCTCAGACGATCTTCGTTTTGCATTATTATTAAAATAACAGTTTAACAAAGATGAATTTAAAGTTGCATTGTTATTTCCAAATTTAGATAATACATGTCCACTTTTTAAAATAAATAATATGAAACTTTAAGCCGCCATGACTCCTAACATTACTTTTTGCAAGAATTTTATCAAAAACCTGATGCTGTCAACTATCTAATTTACACCGACATCAATATCAAACAAGATATAAATAAATAGAATAACCTCAAAGAAACCTTCTGAAATGTTTTGAGGTTCCGAAATTGGATTTTGATTGGTTCTTGTAACAAGTTTTTAACCTCCTCATTTTCCATATTCTTTGAATACGAAGATTAAGAAAATACATAGGAAGAACTCAATAAACAATGTTGTGATTAATTTTATGCAGTTTTCATATTAAATTCATATTTATCCCTTCATCATTCTCTTTTCCTCTCTTCTACTTTTTCTTAGTATTTTATTTCATAATTAGAAGCAATGGTTTTTCAGACGTGTATACTGTGCTGTAATTCTATAATTAAGGTACTTTTACAAATATATAGTATTTTCAGTAAAAATACATTTATAAGGTCGTTTCCTTTGAATTTCTACTGAATCATGATGTCAGACCTGTGTGATTCCTTTAAAAACAATAGGACTAAATTGGGATGATTTTGGTTTGTCTCATTTGTTTGTGTTTTTTAAGTTAAAACTTTTAATACATCTATGAATGATGATGAATATAATCATAGGGATTCCCAACTTGGTATTGAGTTCACAGATCCTATTGAATAATTTTTGGGATGGATTCATATATACTTTCTTGCTTAAATGGATATTGTTAAAAATTAATAAAGAAAGGACTAGTGTATCAAAATTTTCTCTGGATAAACAATTCAATCTAAATTTGTAACTTCCAACAATTTATGATGGATGTTTCTTTTTGCTTCTTAGAAAACTCCTAAACGAACTAGAAGGCAATTTTTAGATACTTTGAGGATTTTTGTCAAAGGAGGATCCGGTGGCATGGGATTACCTCAATATGGTGGTGTTGGGGGAAATGGTGGCAATATATTCGCAGTTGGCAAAGAAGGTATTTTAAGCTTTTGTATGTATTAATTTTAATGATAATTGATTCACAAGTAGTATATATTGTGTTTTTTAAGGTATTACTTTGAAAGAAATAGTTGCCAGAAATGTTACAAAAAGAATAACAGCAAAGAATGGAGGAAATGCACATTCTAAGTGCATTTTGGGTTCTCCTGGTCCAGATGTTGTCATTGATGCACCTCTAGGTATTACAATCTTAAACGAATCAGGAAAGAAACTTGGTATGATATATTATTATTATTTTATTTTATTTTTTCTGTTAGTTTCTATTTCAAATATTACGATTATTTGTACAAAACTTTTAAGAAAATCAATACACGTAAAATCAATGAAGAATGTAAATTGCTTAATGTAGTTGGAAAACAAAATTTTGTTAGCTTAATTTTATCTAACTTTAGTATTTCATGGGATAGGCTGAAATTATTGGTTTAAGAAGAATACTTGTTTGTTCATATTAAATGTTTGACCAAGTTTAACCCTTTGATTGCGGATGGGTTATATGCCATCCCGGTAGTGAGTTGGGTCACTGGTGCTGCCGGGATATATGTCTTCCCGCAAGGGCGGTCACAACTTCAACAGGTAGGGACAAGGGAGAAGTTAATAAGTTAATTTTATAATTTTTTCTTCTTTTTTTTTTTTTTTTTTTTATTGAATAATTGATTTTGGTACATGTGACTCTCTTTCTACTAAACAAATAAATGTAAGTTTCCTACATTTATTTATTATATTATATATATACATATAATAGAATAAATAAATGTAAATATAATACAAAAATTAAAATGTAATAGTAAAAATAAACAGAATTAAAATTAAACTTTTTTACAGATTTAAAATGTTTTATCATTTTTCCATCCACATAAAAACAATATATATATTTCATATAATATAAAAGTGTTTGAAACTCAAAATAAATTTAAGTGCAATAATAAAATTTATAACTGCACTATTTTCAATATGGAACTTTTTTAGGTAAGAAAAAAATTTGTAAATACAAAGAAATATATAATTTGAATCCCACCATTGTCCTTTTTTTAGAAATGATATAATTTAATTTTTATGATCACTTACAGTTATTTTTATGATAATTTTAAGTTATTTTTAGAAATAAGCAAATATGCAAGAAAATGAAATGCTGCGGGATGCCTCTAATTTTATATTGTCATATGCAGCTGAGAAGGATATATCCCGTTTTTTAAAAGTTGAATAAAAACGTTAAAATGCATTTTTGATAGCTTAGATCTTGCAGGGTGACTCAAAATAGCATTTAAAACAAATTTATGCAAAAAAAATAAATCCGTTTTTTGGCATCTTTACAGATTTCTGGATGTAATGTATGGTAGAAACTCAAATGAGCTCCTGCAGTCAAAGGGTTAAAATAAGTTGTTGTTTTTTTGTTGTATTTTTTGGATTTTAAATTGAATAAATTTGTTATTAATTAAATTGGAAATTGTGAATTAAATTATTTATAATCTTGTGCACGGGCGGATCTACGGGGGGGGGGGGAGGCTTTCGGGCTGAAGCCCCCCCAAAATGGAAAAATATAACCATGTTTTATCGAACAAAATATTAAAAAAGTAACTCTTAAAGTATTATTGTTCGTGTGATTAATATTAAAAGGGCTTTAGGAATCACTTAAACACCATTTCATACAGGTAGTTAGTTTCTTTCTTTTTTTCCAAAGTAATTATAGTAATTTTTATGAAAAAAAAGCTTTCGGGCTGAAGCCCTCCCCAAAATTAAATCCTGGATCCGCTAGTGATCTTGTGTATATATATTCACTGAATATTTTAGTACACATCAAATGAAATATGTAATAGGTATAATTAAGGACATTTAACTTTTAAAAGTTTCTGATCCCTCAACATAAAAATAATAATTAAATATAGGTATGTGTTTATGTATATTTTAATATTTTGTTATGTTTTTTATTCAGGAGAAATTGATAAAGAAGGTGAAAAAGTTCTTATTGCTAGAGGCGGTGTTGGTGGCTGTAAAGATAATGGTTTCTGTGGAATGAAAGGAGAGTCAGGCAATGTTACGTTTGACTTAAAATTAATTGCCGATGTTGGTCTTGTTGGATTCCCAAATGCTGGAAAATCAACACTTTTATCAGCAATATCTAATGCCACGCCCAAAATAGCTCCTTATCCATGTAAATAATATTTTTCTTTGTAATTAAGCAGGTTTTAAATATCACTAATTGCTATAAATATTGTTTAATTTTAAAAATTAAATATCAACAATGTAAATATTTTTTATAAATTAGTTATAAAAAAATTGTAATTTTTTTATAGATTATATATATTTTTTAATTAGTTTGATAATTATATATTTATTGTAACTATTATTCTGAGGTCACTTTTAATTTCTTAATTAAATTAATTTTTAATTTAATGATTTTCTCTTTGTACTAACTAAATCAAGTTTAGGTAGTTTATTTTATACTACTTTTTTTTTCTTTTTAAAGAATGTGTTGTATTATTTTATTTAACTTTAACTTACATCCACTCTAACTCTGCACTAGATGCATGACTTTTTTTTTTAACAAAATTTTTAAATTAAATAGTGATGAGTAGAAATTGTCAAAAGTATTCATGTTCACTACGTTAGTTATTATCTGTCGAAAGGCAGCCACTGATGCTCACTAAAAACGGAAAGAGGGAGTGGTTGTCCCATTTCAAAAACCCCACTGACGATCAATCTTATGCATGGTTTCAGTTTTTACCAATAGGATGTTGTTCATGTTCCTACAGGTCATTTTTATATATATTTCGAACTCTTAAATACTGCAATTCTAATTAAAAAAGAAAATCAATTGGTTCTTTTTTATATTGGATGTATCAATTAAACATTAATTTTTATATTTGTTAATTGTATGTAGACTTCCATTCAAAACGCTGTTTGTATTCAAAGTAATAATGACTTTTCAAGAAGTCTAACACTATTTATTGCTTTATATTCATTCCTAAACTTCTTAAATCTTCTTCGTAATTTCTTCTTTATTGCTTTAATATATTTTTTCATTAGGTAGAATTAATTTGGCTGTTAAATATTTTATTAAAATGTATTGTTATTGTTTAAATTTCAGTTACAACCTTGCATCCTCAACTGGGAACAATTTTATATCCCGATCAGCGAGTTATTACCATTGCAGATTTACCTGGTCTTGTTGAAGGTGCTCATGTTAACGTTGGATTGGGTCATAGGTAAAGACTTAAATTATTATTAATTGTGGGTCGATGGTTAATTGTAGTGAATAATTGAAGAGAAGGATGGTTGGGTTGATCAGTCAAAATAAAAATAAATAATTATATTTATTTTTACATTTGCCAACGTTTCGGCCCAAAGTTCATGCCTTCATCAGGGCTAAGAAAAGAACCAGATAACAATAGGTATGAGAAACTATAAACATTGAATAATAAAGAATTGATTGGCCCAGCAATTTTGATTACTTAACAGCATATTGTTAAGTAATCAAATGCCAAATTAATGAGAAAATAAAATAATGCAACGTATCATAAGATAAAGAAATCAATTGTTACTTTATCGATTAATATAATCGACAAAAGAAACAAAAATTAATTTAAAACTTCATAATGTTTGGAACCAACATGTTTACAAATTTCAATAACCTGTATCTTTGCTCTAAATTGTCCGATTTCGATGATTTTTTTTTTCCTTTTGTAGGGAATTTAGTAACCTTTTATATAATCATGGACATAACCCAGCGAAAAGTGTGTAATTTTTTAGTTAATAGTTAATCGCAAATAAAGTTTGTTTTCTTTCATAACTTGTTTGCCTGAATTTTCGGGGAAATTGGACTATTTTGCCTGCCTGAAGGAGAAGGAAGCCTTCAAAATTGGTGGCTCAATCTTGAGATTTGGTGAAGATTTAATGATGATACGGCTTGCCGATCAAAAACACCATCGATAAATAATATAAACTCCTCTCTCGATCATAGAGGCCTCAAGTCGACGAAATGAGACCTGTATTCAATGACAGTACTACAGTTAACGTAAGGTTGTGTGGATGGGGACCCTATGCCTTGCGTTATCTCGAAAATAGTTCGTTTTTGGGCTTAAAAACGCAGTATCCAATAGTTTCGGAGGAACTATCCTGGTCTTGCTGTACGCATCAAAATCTTGAAGGGCCAATTTGTCCCGTATCGATCTACAGGCCTACAACCATTCCAGTATTGAAGCCTGGCGAAATGTTTGTATCGACTTTATTTATTTTAGAAAGAAAAACAAATACGATTCGCTGACTCCCCGTGAAATTTTGAATCCAACGGTACCCCATTCATGGTATTTGAACATGACAGGAGCTTATATTTGGTACGAAACCGATTTCGAACCTTACTGTAATAATATATGTGGGGATTAAAGATAAAAATGTGAAAGGTATAGACTAGAAAATGCAGGTAATTTCAAATTTATCTTTCTTATCTTAGTTTTCTCCTTTTTTTTCCTCCTTCCCATCACTCTATTTTCCATATCAACATCTCCATTTTGTATATATTGATATATTTGCTCATTCATCTTTGTTACATTATTTTAACTTTTTATTCTCTTATGCGTAGTTAGTATTTTTGGATAGATTTTACAATTTTCTATTTATATCCATTATTTCCTTCATATTCCTTTTCTCTGTTTTACATTTTATTCTAAGATTACCATTTTTTATTTCTTATGTTACCTTATTTTGATTATGTTTATTTCATTGGTCTGTGATTTGTTGCTGTTATTATTATTTATTTCTTAGTTGTCTGTTACTGTTATCATTCCACCTACTTTATTTTACTTTAATGTTCACTCTATCTACTTCATTTTACTTTAAGTTTTTTCTACCTACATTGTTTAGTCTATACCTTTCACCTTTTTAACTTTAATTCTTTATTATTCAATAATTGTAGTTTCTCATACCTATTGTTATCTGGTTCTTTTCTTATCCCTGATGAAGGCCTGAACTTTGGTACGAAATGTCGCCAAATATAAAAATAAATATAATTATTTAGTTTTACTATTTTTATTTTGACTGATCAACCCAACCATCATTCTCTTAAATTATTGTTATTGTGTACGATTGTTATTTATAAAATATTATAATATGTACCCATAAACATATTAAAATAAAAATATATCTAATCCAAATATTATGTACTTAATTACTAAGATAATTAATTCTTAATGGTTATTGTTAATTTTTTGTTTCTTATCTTTAATTATGTCCTTTGAGACAGAATTTAAGTAGATTTTATTTTTTAATATTTTTTTCATAGATTTTTCGAATTAATTTAATTTATAATTTATCATATGTCTATTTTAGGCCAAAGGTCACCAAAAAAACACAGTTTTTTTATCTCCTGTATGCTTTATTCAACGTTTCGGCTTCAGGAGCCATTTTCAAGAACCTGCAAAACTAATTTTAATTTATTTTTTACCATTCAAATACAGCCTCAGACACATATTATTTAACATCCACAAGTAATACATTTAGTTTAAAATTTTTTTTTATTTATTTTTTTTAATTTTGAATAAACTTATATCATCCACCTACCATGCACCGCGCCATAAAATTTTTAAAATTTATCATTGCAATATGATTCGTCCTAATTCATTCTTTTATTTCAAAGAATGTCGTTTTTCGTTTCTAAAAATTGTAATATATAATTAATAAATTAAAATAGATTGCTATAATTAATTTTAAAAAAGAATATTATTAATTTTCGATTTATATACCTCTATTTGCAGACGGTATCAAGAAATCATTGTTCTTCAATAGGGCATTCAGAACGGAAAACGACATTCTTTGAAATAAAAGAATGAATTAGGACAAATCATATTGCAATGATAAATTTTAAAAATTTTATGGCGCGGTGCATGGTAGGTGGATGATATAAGTTTATTCAAAATTAAAAAAAAATAAAAAAAATAATAAAAAAATTTTAAACTAAATTTATTACTTGTGGATGTTAAATAATATGTGTCTGAGGCTGTATTTGAATGGTAAAAAATAAATTAAAATTAGTTTTGCAGGTTCTTGAAAATGGCTCCTGAAGCCAAAACGTTGAATTAAGCATACAGGAGATAAAAAAATTGTGTTTTTTTGGTGACCTTTGGCCTAAAATAGACATATGATAAATTATGAGAAAATGGCACCAAACCTGAAGAATGTGACTAGAAAATTAATTTAATTTATTTTTTTTTTATTAGGTTTCTTAAACATATTGAGAGAACAAGTCTTTTAGCATTGGTCGTTGATGTTGGAGGGTTTAGATTAGGTCAAAAATATAAATCAAGAACATGTTTGGAAACCATTATACTCCTGAACAAGGTATTTAACTTTTCAAATTTCATTATTAATAACTAATGTTTCATTTCATTTGTTGTCTTACTAACATTACTTATTTTGCTAATAAAAATAGTCAATCCAATTAAAATCATACATCTGAAGTTAATCTGTATACATCTTTATTCATCATTTATCATAAATTACAAAAATATACTTTAGATGTACTTCTTTATTTATGATTATTACCAGAGGTGCACATCCCCCCAAGGTTGATTAAAAAAAATTTAATGTTTTCCTCTTCTTAAAAACCATGCAAGCATAAGAAGAATAAAAAATCTGATGCACACATCACACGACTTTCTCTTACCACCCTCTTAGTAGAAATAAATATTTTTAGATAAAGGGGAAGTGAAAGTATAAATTATGGACGCTATATTTATTTACATTTTATTGTGGGTATTTTTATTTGTTTAAATACCCTTATATATACAAATTTTAATTTTTATATAGCTGTATTCTATACAATTAAATATTAAATAATACCAACAATAGCATTTATGAAAATTTATTATGTATATGTACATAATATTGTGGGAGTTCGCATTATATTAAGCTCATGTTATGTATGGAAGCCTGTTGTAATCTTTAGGGTGAGTTTGGGCGTGCTCGTTTTGCTTTGGTGCCTCAATTACCACTATTCTCCGTAACGATCTCTTATTTCTTCTTTAGTTAATTATCAAATTCTTTCATATCTAATATTTAGCTATCTTTTATATTAGAGATCAATGTAAAATGGTCAATTGTTTCAAATAAATAAATAAATTAAAGGTACTTTAGAGATAGCTAATATAAAAAATTAGCCGTTTTAGCCCTGTTAGAGAATATTAATGAGAATAAAACCTATATTATATTAAAACTGCTTAACAATACACTGATATACTGCGTTTCATCAAAATTGTTTGATGCGTTTTTGAGAAAATCGTAAAAATGTGTTAAATTGATTATAAAACCTTATAAAAACCTCAAATGTGCAATTTCAGTTTCGTACGACTTTTCTACGTCTTTCCTACGACTTGTCTAGGTTTTTGAGCTAGGCTGTTCAGATACTATATACACACACACACACACACACACATGCACGCGTACACACAGACCCTTTTATGGGACTTGGTTATTTGGACTCAGGGTACCTCAAAACGTGTATCTCAATTTTTACTTACAACCTTTTGCACTAACATTAGCGATATTATGTTATTAACTGTTGTTTTTTTTCATAGTTTAATGAAAAAATAATAATTTTGACAACAAAATATTTAAAAAAAAATATTCTATTTATAAAATCATTGTAACTGCATTGAATTATTTTTTCTGTTATATTTTCAGGAATTAGAACTATATAGAGAGGAGTTATTAGGTATACCATCGATACTCATTGTCAATAAATTAGATAAAAAGAGAGGTACAGAAATCTTTAAAGAATTAGAACCAATCGTGGAAGATTTGCAAGGTATTTCTTTCCAAATGCTTTAAAAAAATCCAACACCAAACATGCTTATATTTTATTTTATTTATAAATTTTCTGGCTCAATACCTTTTGAAAGAGGACAATGCCTGGAAAATTTAATCCTAAATTTAGTGTTAAGTATAAGGCATTGGTACATTACAGTTTTCAAACAATCTAACAACCCCATTTGGTTCAATTTCATTATTATTTTAATAAACATTTTAGAAATTCATAAAATATTGGAATTTTAGTCATTTTGCAATTCAGATGATTGTTGTTCTACATATAAAATTGTAATTCATATTTTAATTATCGTATGGTTGTTCTATCCTTGTTTAATGATATCAATTTGTAATTCTGTAAGCCACATTCCACTCTTATTCTCATAATTTCTATATATTCATTTATTTTCTATCAGTAATTATTGTTATTATGTTATAAATTATAACTTTGTTTATTTTATTTCAATATAAATATATTTCTAAATTAACAAGTTTAATAATTACAGTTGTATTTGAAGAAGTGCCAGAAGAGTTTCGGCCATACCGAGCGCTATCCTTCAAAAGGGTTATTGGTATCAGCGCAAAAAAAAAAAATGTTGAGGAATTAGATAATGTGAAAAATGCAATAAGAGAAGTGTTAGATGCAGATATAGAAGCTGCCGCAGCTGAAAAAGAAATTAAACTCATTAAAGAAATGGAATCTAAATTAAGAGAATATGGACCAAATATGATATAGATGTAATAGTTTAATGTTGTAAATATAATATTTTTTTTATCCTTCAGTGTTTAGTACATATATAGAAATCAGTTCCTCATAATCCAAAGGAGATATTGGGTCGGCATTGCCCGATGAGCCTGCCAATATCTTTTATAAAAATAAGTTTATTAAATATATATCAAAAATATCATGTTCTGTGTACATTAGCCTTAAAGTCAGGCTTTGTATATATATTTTTTTTTTGTTTTGTTTTGTTTTTATATCCCATGCTCAGAAGGTTTGCCATCATTACTCGAAAGCTAATGATTTTATGTATCTGTAATAATTTAAATATCAACATCATAAGTATTAATCAAACTGGTATCCTCTATTTGGAACCATCCAAACACTGCTGCAATTAATATTTATTAATTTTAACACCCATAAGCACTATTAAGATCGTAGTTAGCAGCAAATGTTGACAACTTTTAGAAAACTTATAGAAGTTACATTCGTTGATAACATTTGTTAGCAACTCTTTTTTTATGTTGCCAATATTCGTTGCCACAATATTATAGGCTTCTGAAATCAACGAACAAAGTTGGCAACAACTCCCCTCTCTCCTAGGTCTAGCTGGAGCAACAGGAAAAGTGAAAACAGATATTTCCAAATCTGTCCCGATTCCATTTAAAAAAAAATTATAGGAACTCTGTCTTTGTTATTGTTGATTTAACTATTAAATTTCACTTTTTTATTGTTATCACTCGCACACTATTAAATTGTCTTTGTTATTGTTGATTTAACTATTAAATTATATTTCACGGTACTCTTTAGATAGCCGGTCGGGTCCGACTGCTATCTGCCAATGTTTATAACCTTAACACTGATAATTATGATAAGGCACTGATAATTCCTTTGTTCGTATTCATATTTATTGTATTATATTCATATTATGAAATTGCAAACAAAAACAAATGTAATAATAAAAAAATATATATATTAAATAGATGACATATATAATTCCTATATATATTAAATAGATGAAAAGAAATGTAATAACAAAACAGTTTGATTAAATACTTTTATTTTACAGTATATATATATGTCAAAACAATTATACCATAACAAAATGTAACAATAAAAATATATATATATATCAAATAGACGAAAAGAAATGTAGTAATAACAAAACAGTTTGATTAAATACTTTTAAAATACTTTTATTTTACAACATATATATTAAATAGACGAAGAGAAATATAATGATAACAAAACAATTATCCCGGCTTCTTGAAAATATTTGATAGCCTCTTCTTCTACCTGCTATTTAAGGAGTACCTATTTCACTAACACACTTTTAGAAAAATACAGGATTTCATTCAAAAACTATCCCATGAAAGATGTTGAAAAAAAAAAACGAGTGAATTGTTTTAAAAAGTTATTTTATTCTTTTTTTTCTCTAAAATCCTTTTAAATTTACATTTTTTATGTAACTTACATTTTTTATGTAAGTTATTTCTTTAATAATGCAATTAATGTAGCATCTTAAAATGAACAGGTTATGTGGCAAATTTCCGTATTATTGCTAACTTTTTCTGCTCAAATTGTTGGTAACATAATATAAATCAAACAGGGCAGAAAATGTCAGTGACTTACAGATTACCAGAATATTCCTGCCTGATTGTGAATTTTATGATTTATTCCTTGAGTTTATTATGAAATGGAAAAATTTGTACTGAAAAAATTTATAAGTTGCTAGAGTGCTGCTTAACCGCCCATACTAGTCCGTGGTACAGACCTCTTTTTATCGAATTATTAACATCCGCCTGAAACTTCATAAATAGTTTCATCTCATCGTAACCTACAACTATTTTATTTACGAAAACTCTTGGAATATAGGCGTTTTCAATCTGGAGGGGGACAATTACTTCACTGTAAACTGGACAAATTTTACTACAAATGAAAATAGTTGTCATTGTTAAAACCATTTAAAGAGGATTTTTGATGGATAAACAAGCCAAGTTATAAATTAAATCTTCAATTTTTCAAGGATATTTTTAATTAATTAATAAAATTAATAATTTCAAGGAAATAACTTGTTAAAACCTTTCACCTCTTCTCAATGCTTTAATTCATTTTATTTATTACAACAACGTTTCAGGCCTTCAACTTTGCCCATTTTCAAGTCAAACTTTTTATCTAAAATATTACAATACATTAAATATCTATGAATAAAATGTAACAGCATATACAACAAAAATCTATAAAATTACCCAAAAATCAACTTACTGCATAAAATTTCTACTTACATCCTTATCATATCCTGTGGAGCAGCTCCAAGCACAGCAGTCGTAGAGAAGAGGTCGTACTCACACGGCTGAGGATCGGACATACTAGACTGACTCACCTCCACCTCATAACAAAAGATCTTAACCCCAGGTGTCAAAAGTGTGGTCAGTCATTAACTATAAAACATATTTTGGAAGAGTGCCCTTTTTACACCACAAGGTTAAAAGATCTCGGAATACCCAAGAATATATCAGCATCTCTGGGAAATCAAGAAGAAATCCTTACCAAAGTTATTAAGTTCCTAGACAATGAAAAGATTATATTAATTTAATTTAATTATTAATTTCAATTCTTTTCTTGATTTTTCTTTTTATCTGTTCTACCTTATTATCTATAGGTGTCTATTATTATCATTATTTATTTATTTTATTCTATTAATTCTTTTATTTGTATGCCTTTTTTTTTATCCTTTTTTCATTTCTATTTTTTGCACCAACCACCTGAACAGTATAAAAGTAGTGTTGTTTAGTTGATCGGGCGCTGATGACCTGGACGTTTTGCAACTAGACATCGAAACAAACAAACTTATATCCTCACCTTCTTCCAATAATTATTTCATAACTATTTATGAAAAGTCCATTTCACAATTTAAAAATAATGCAAATTTAACATTACATCTAAAATAAGAAAGGGCCAAACCGCTACCTTTACCACATTTTACATTACTACTTTATAAATTACCTTTTAAACACATCTCATTAGTTAAAAATTATTTTTATTAAAAGTTTTCATTCCAATGCTACACATTTTGGTCTTATCTTTTTTATATCTTAATGTCCACTGTGAGCTGTGGACTTATATATTATTATGCTCTTTGGGGTTGAGATTACTGCATTATTTTAATACTTTAAGTTTCATATTATTGCTAATAATTTTGCTGAATGATTATTTAAATTAATTAAAATTGTAATTTATTAATTATGTCAACATAGTTATGTTTTAATAAAGATCATAAATTATTAATGTTTTTTTTTATCCTACATCATCCATCCTCTGCCCTCCCATAATTGAAGAAACTTTTTGATATACTTGATACATTTTGAAAAATATCCGGGTATGGCATCTATACTCTTAGTGAAAAAATTATAAACCATGGCTCTACTGTAATCATACTAATCATGGGCTTCGTTCTTTCTTAATCATGGAGGGGTTCATAATATGCTGTGAAACTTGCCTTAGCAGACAATTTTATATCAACTTCTAAGTAATTTTATAGTATTAAGGTCTTCAGAGTACTGGACCCTCTCTATAACGGTTCAGATGGACTTAATAAAATTATTTTGATTATAAGTTTCTCCATATCCCAGAGCAGGAAACTAGAGTTCTTATTCTGAGAGCACCAATTTTGTTTTTTACTTTCACTTACCTATATATGTAATATATGGTAAGGGAAACTATTGCAGTGAAAATTTTGACATCTGATTTTTCAATGCAAATATATGTTTTAAGTTCCCCTGAGTCGAAATAAACAAGTCCTGCAAAATAGTGTCTGTGTGTGTTAACAGTCTAGTTCAAAAAATTTGAAAAGTCCTACAAAAGTGAAATTGCATGTTTAAGGTTTTTATATACTTGGGATGTTGCAGCAACTTTTTTGTCAAAATCCACTCACTGAAAGTGGCACTTTATATAATAAACTAAACATATTTTTATGATTTTCTCGAAAATAGCTCTAACGATTTTTAATAAATTCATTATTTCTCTGTAAAATTAAGCAGTTTTACATAAATCGCAGATTTTATTCTGATTGATGTTCTTTAATAGAGCTTAAATAGCTAATTTTCAATATTAGCTTCTCCTAAAGTACCTTTAATTTTTTTTTATTTGAAACAATTGATCATTTCCCATTCATTTATAATATAAAATATAGTTAAATATAAAATATGAAAGAATTTGACAATTAACTAAAGGAAAAATAAGAGATCGCAACGGAGAATAGTTGTAATAGAGGAACCAAAGGATATATATACGAGTGTACCCGAGCTCGCCCTAAAGATAAGAACACGCTTCCATAATTAACATGAGCGCAAGTTGCGCCATCAAAATATTTGAGAGGTTCATATTTTTACTGTTTTTTTGATTTTTGAGGGGGACCACATTTTAACAGGGTTATGAATTTTCTGAATGAAAATGTTCACGATAAGGGGCCAGGGGAAAACAGACAGCAGCAAGTATAATTGTGTATGATCTACGATCTTTCTGAATCTACTGCCCCTTGCTCAGTTTTTAAGAAAATATGAGCAATAAAACATCTTGAGAGGGGGGATAGGTTCTTGCGCCATCGACTTTGGGGGAGATGGGTACCTTTGACTCCGACAATATTATGTAAATATGCATATGCGGTTTTCATAAATGCTATTTTTGATATTATTTATGTTTAGATTGCAGCGATATAAATATTAAAATTTATATATATATATATATATATATATATATATATATATATATATATATATATATATATATATATATATATATATATGGCTGCTTATACAAATAAAAAAACTCACAATGAAATATAAATCAATATAGCATTTATAATTTTTACTTTCACTTCCCCTTTGTCTGAAAGGTACCATCCACCATTGGTTAGTAATAAAAAAAAGTTGCCAAGTGTTTGAGAATAATTAATTTCAGCGTATTAATAAACCAACTGAATTAGAGACATAAAGAAAATTCAAATATTACTTAAT